ATCATGATACAAAGAAGTGATGGTGGACAATTGTCTGCCTTTCAAGGCAAGGACATATCGAGTAACTCTACTTGGACTATGAAAAGCAGTGCCAATATCGCTGGATATGTGTGCGATAATGCGTGCCCAATAAGCCTTGAAAATAGGTAATCACTATGTTCAAAGAAAACACATCTAAACAAACTACTTGCAATACAATGGCGTGCAGAGTACCGACGCAGGCTGCTGGGGATTCATGTGGCCAATGTTGAACGACCACAGACGCCCGGTCTAGACCGATGACCACAGATCTGTGGAAAAGCTCAAAAACATGCCCCTGGGTGCGCCGACTGTCCCAAACAGTTGCCGATTCCGGCTCGTTCCACGACAGCGCCGATCAAAAGAAGCGTGTCTCGCTTGATACATGAGCTGCCATCCGTGTCGTTGGTGGTGGAATTCCGCCCAATCCGGTATAAGATACAAACACAGCAGTTTGTTTCGATATCTACCCGCGCGGCGTCAGGCAGACGGGCCCTCATTGTAGTATTCCACAGGGCAGTCAAAACAATTGATTTGTCAGTCTTATCGGAGCTGTGTCTCCCCCACTGTTGGGACGCCAAGATGCCCGCGCCAGTCCCGAAAATAGAGGATTTGCTCCTGCATACAAGGATTAGAATGCATGGGCATCCTGGTATTAATGCCTGCGTTGGCATGGCAGTCCCTGGGGGCCGAATTCGAGACGCACGTCCTGTTATATTGTGCTCCTGATGGCTGTATTCGATCTTTAGGTATTAATCCATCTAAATTCCTAAATGCCATGACCAGGAATTGACGCACTTGCAAATTAACTTGCTGCGGACAAATGTCTAAAACATGATTGAATACACAGCGCAAAATCTCCGGCTTTTCCACAAATTTGAAAGCAACCAAATTTCCAGCTCCTTCTCGTCCCCAACCCCAGCGCCCGCAAACCCATGCGATCGCAAGCTTAGCCCTGACGAGCGCTCGTCTCCAGCTTTTGGAATTGTCGACACTGACCCAGTTGATCAGTATTCCGCGCCAAGCGAGCCCGCAGGAGCCACCCACCGCCCTTCAGTTGAGCAAGAGCACAAGTTACGCTTCGGCATCTTCACTACCACACCCACCGCTTTCGCAGTCAGGGACAACGACAGTAGTCCTGTCTCCGGCAGCCACGGCAGCCAGCGTCCTGTTTCGGCATCTGCACACCAACAAATCGAGATCTGCCTCAAGCTTTGCGGCGCCCCGTTCAAGCAACAATTCTGCCACGCCGAGGTTGCCCCAAAAAGCAGCGTGAAGCAGCGGGGTGTCGACGTCTGCTCCAGTGTCCAGAAGGGCCCCCGCGACCAATTCGCTGTCGCGCCCAGGCTTGCGAGGCGCAGCGTGGAGGGTGGCGAAACCCGCATTGAGAACAGCGCTTCCCTCCTTGGGATCCACTCCAACATCCAGCAGGACTTCGACCACTGAGGGATGGCCAGCTGTACAGGGGCGCAACAAAACATTGATGTAGGAATTAGTAATGCGATGTCGAGAAGCTCTCCAGAGTCTCGGCTTCAAGCTCATTGGAAGCAACTATGAAAGAAATTGTGTTGCCCACATGGGCGCTAATGATGCATCACCAAAGTGTACGCAACTTTAAAGATGCTAAGTTCAGCGCCATATCTGCAGATTGAATACAAGAAGGTTGAGAATTCTTGATTGTACTAAGGGGCTTGCAGAGAAAGCATACAGAATGGGAAGCAATGCCAATGTTTGGTATGATAAGGGTTGATCTATCTTGATATACTGCGTATGATGTGGCGTATTACGTATGGTGAGCATACCCGATATCAACCATATTTCGTGTTTTCCTGGATTTCGAGGGTGATGCATCCGACATTTGCGTCCACTGCACCTAAATCCTGACCACCCTCACAACGAGAGCAACTAGCGTTTCGCGAGAACGCCCAACCGATGTATCCCTCCCCTTTCCAGGAACGCAAGCACCAAATCGCCATGGTCGGCCGTGCAGTGCTCAAACCTCCTGCAGCGACTCCCAGCACCTGCGCCGCTCGTGCGTGCACGCGCGGCAGCATGCGCAGCTGCAGGTTGGGCGGCAGGAGCAGTCGCGCCGTAGCAGCAATCACGCAACGCTCCAGCCCTGGGGCTTGCAGTACAGGCGCCCGGCAGTCCCCTGTACAGGCGCTGCCCGTGCAGTGTCGAATCGGGGAATAAGCACAAGTACGGAATCGGTCAAACACGCGCTTGTTGCGGAAGTCATGTACGGTCCTGCGCGATACAGGATCCTGTACTATCGTACGCGGTCGCGAGGGATCGTTGCTGAGAATCGCGTCCTTTTCCTGGCCGTGTAAAGCACGCGCACAGTTTCAGCTCGGCTCTACGGGAGAAGCGATACCGTATTGCTAATAGGACCAAGACTGTGCAGGGTTCCTGCCGAGTTCCTGACACCAATTGCCCGGGCTCGTGCATGAGCTGAGCCGCTTCACTAGCAAAGGAGACGGACGAATTCACAGTGTGAAACCCGTTTGCTGGTCTCTACGAAAAGCAATACCGTATTGCCCACACGAACACTTTTGGGCATGCCTCTAGGCGTGTTCCTGGCACCAATCGCGTCAATTTGTACACGACCTGGGCCGCTTTACTAGCAAGCAAGTGGGACAAGTTCACAGTGTGCAAGCGCTTTGCTGGCCTCTACGGAAAAGCAATACCGCATTGCCTATGCGAACAGCAATGTGGACGCTTCTTGCCGCGTTCCTGACACCAGTAGCGTCAACTTGCACACGAACTGGGCCGCCATACTGGCAAGGGCATCCGCCAATAGTTGCAGAGTACAAACCGATTGGTAGGGAGGAATCGTTTAATTCCGCGGGGGACAAGTGCGGTTTGGTGCACATTCCAGAACACACGATTTTCACATGAGACTACATGATAATTCAGAAGTATCTCGCTGCTTTGCGGTTTTTCTCACGTCGTATTTTGGCTGATTTTCTTGGTAGTGAAGCGGCCTAGCGGGCGGCTTTTTTCTCTGGCAAGGCGCGTTCAGCGGATCGACCATCGTCGTTCCTGACTGTGGTGCATCCCATCAGAAAAAGTCTGGAAGCCGCGCCGCCATCATGGTTGCCAGCATCCGAATCCAAGGGAGCTCCCCACACCCGTGACCCTTGCTGAAAGTAAGGTCGAGCGACCCCACTCCCCGTTACCCAAAAAGGGCTTTTAAGTTACAACGTTCCCAATACAATTTCCGTGATCATCATCGTAGCCGGCCCAATGCTTTGGGACCAATCCCAAAGTGCTGAATCTGGGTGCTTTACTGTTATTCCAAATTGGAGCTCAATCGATAAGCGATGGGCTGGGGAGGGGGGAGGGAGCAAAACGCGACATATGGTGGTCGTTGGTCCCTCGTCAACTAGGCAGGCTGCCCGCAGACCTAGCAAATCTCTGCCGAGCTAATAGTTGGAAATCAAACTCCGGCTCTCCTTGAAAGACTGGGTGAAGTGCTCAGATATCTTGGCCCATGTTCGTGCGCAGTCTATGGACCAATGGGTCCAGAACTGCCAAGTGGCCGGCTGTTTGGAACATGGTATGCCACGGGTGCCCTTCAGAATAACTGGCGTAGCTCCGGCATCCACCCATGCCTCTTTCACCAGGCTCTGATTAAAGCTATTCTGATTAAAATTTCTGACGATAGTGTCTAGAAGTTTGCCAAGCGTGTCAAACTCATTGACCCGGTGGCCCATCTCAAACCAGGCTCGCATCACCTGCTAGCGAAGGCGTTGCGCGTGTAACAAAACGTCTACGCACTCAGCCTTTGATTGAGTGGCCCAGCCCAGACCCTTGCTCGCGTACCCAACTGACAAGTGCCTCACGACTGCAACAAATCGTCGACAAGTTTGCCAGCGGCCCGCACTGCCAATTGGCTGCCCGCAAAGTGCCAATCAGCCAGCCACTGCGTGCCAAACTACTGCCCGCGCCCCCAGCACATGACCGCACCAGAATAGCCAGACTGCTGATCCATTTTCTGTACCTCCCCGAGGCCAACCAGCACAGCTCAAACTACAGGCCAAACCACGCGAGGCCAACCAGCACAACACCCTATCGCCGGTCGCACCAAAGTAGCCAAACTACTGACGTGACGCGTTCACCTTTGTACCTCCCTCCTCACATGAGGCCAAACTACTGCCCGCGTCCCGTGCCAACAGCCGCTCCAACCACTGCACCCAAACTACAGACCTGCCACTGGTGCAAGTACCTGTACCTCCTGACATCATGAGGCGACCCGGATACCCCCTCCAACCGTCCTTGGCTCCCTGGGATTTGGGCCCCCCCAGTCTCACTGCTGCCCCCATCAGCGTGAGCCCCACGATGTTAGGCCGCCTTGGGCAACTGGGCGCCGCCCAGTGGCCCCGTTGGTCCGTGGTTGCCCCGTACACCCAAGAAAACGGGGCGCGAGGCCCAGGGCGGCCGGCGACTGGGAAGCGGCGGCGCACACGAGGAAAACGGAAAGCGGAAGAGTCCAAGGTGGGCTAGGGGGGCTTTAGCGGGGGTTTGGGGGAGATGGACACCGCGGGGCGGATAGGGGGCTGGTTGGGGACCGCGGTTTGGGGGATGGTGTGGTGTCGGTTTGGGGCGGTACAGAGAGCGGATCCCCGGATGGGCTTTTGCCGCGGGGTGGTGGGAGCGTGCGGCAGGGAGAGTGGCTGGGGGGTGGGGGCAGTGGCGGGAGTGGCGGGGGGATAAAAGCGAGTGGGACGTGGCTGGGAGCGAAGGGGCGCTCGATGGGCCGTCCCTCGTTTTTCGTGCACACGTTGCGTGGCCGCATCGCTCGGCAATCTGCAGCCCAGCCTGCGCCGCGCACCTCCCTCCCCGTCTCGTGTCTGCCTTCATGCGGCATCCTGTCGGGATTGCTCGCCTTGGCAGTGGGTTCCCATCTCAGGATGTCTCCCTGACAGTCAGCGATTCTTCTGCACCAACGCAGGGACACAAAAATCCGCCGGCCGCGCAGCATGGCCCGCCTCGGCGCCATGGCGACCTCCCTGCTGCCGATCGTCCTGGCCTGCGTCGCCCTGGCCGCCCTTGTCGACGGTCGTCAGACCCTGGTCGCCGATTCGGGATCTGCCGATCGCCTCCTCTCCGCGCCGCGCATGCTGCTGTCCAAGAATCTGAAAGACAGCAAGAGCGCGCCGGACTGCTCGACCGATTCCTCAGGCCCCGCGTGCAATGACGATCACGATGAGGCGGGGCACGCCCATGGGCAGGCGGGCGAAAGCGGGGATGCCCACCATGAGGGCGACGGCGATGGCGACCATGCCGAGGACAAGGAGGGTGACCACGATGAAGGTGAACAGGGGCATGAGCACGAGGAAGGCGAGGAGGGGCATGAGCACGAGGAAGGTGAGGAGGGGCATGAGCACGAGGAGGGGGAGGGGCACCATGAGGAAGGGGAGTGGGGTTTCGGCGCCGAAGGCGAAGAGCACGACCACGAGGAGCACGACCACGGCCACGGCGGGAACTTCGTGGAGCTGCTGGGCGCGGAGCCCGCAACCAGCCACACCTTCGGGCTGGTGGGGATCGCAGAGGGGGGCAACATGACGCGAGCGCACATCGTCACGCTGCTGGACGCTCTCGAGAGGTGGGTGTGCATGTTTTGGCAAAGAGAAGCGGGCTGAGATTGGTTATGAGAAGCGAGATATGCCAAGGGTGCCTTATCCTGTTTTGGCAGAGAAAAAGTTGTGCAGAGGGCGGGACGTTCTGGGCGAGCGTGCGTTTGAGTCTGTGCCGTACCGTGAAAAGATGGTGTGGAGTCTGCGGGGAGGGGCGGGGAGGCGGTTTTGGGAAAGTGTGGGGAAGCGGTTCGGGAGCGCGGTACCGCGCTCGGCCGGACGGCGGCCTGATGTACCGGAGGCGCAATACGCGCCGGGGTGGGGTGGGGGTGAAGGGGGGGCGCGACGCGGTGGACGTACGGGAACAAAATGGAGAGCTGCAGCGTGGAAGCTTCAACGAAACAGTGCAGTTGTGGGTGTGAATGCTGTCGCGATTGCGTTTGATCTGCGGGGCAGGGCGGCGAGCGGGGGGGGGGGGGGAAAGGAGTTAAATGGGTAGGTGTGTGTGTGTGGGGGAAGGCGCTTGGCGATCCCCACGACCGGATTCCACGCG